TAAGCTATTTTTACATTTCTGTGGATATGTCAATCAAACTTCTAAGGCTTAGGACATTTTTTTCTTCAACACAAGAATACACTAAAAACCCTGCTTATTTTTTTCTTTCCTATCGAGATAGGATCCATTGTTTATCACTTATTCTATGAATGTTCAGATTGTACTTTTCTTTTAATTTCTGTGACTGTCTGGATGACCTATCAGTCTCACAGATTGTCCACAGATTCCATGATCCTGTATGAATTGTTGGTGTAATTATCAGAAACAGTATCGTCTTCGTAGATTCTGAAAACTTCTAATTTCACTCTTATATAAAAACCTTTGAATTCACATGGCATGGTATAATTGGTTTACATGGGTTTCTTTTGTATACATGTTTGGGTTATTCACTCTATAAAAAAAAACTACCTTCATAGGGTTTATTAATCAATCTAACTAAATAATAATATCTACAAAACTTTCTGATATGAATCAACATATACTCATTAGTGACTGGAGTTCAAGTGAGCAGTCGTGACCAGTGGAGTTCAACCAGGTCTGTTGTGAGATAGGAACTCATTGAGGACAAGAGTGAATGTGTCGCTTAATTTCGTGGATTAGTTGAAGTTACACATTAACACCGTTGAATGCATGCCGGTTCAGTGATCTAGTGGATACGCATTCGTGCGCGAGACTGATAGGTTCTGTGTTTAAGTCTCGTGAGATGGGTTAGTGGATACACACTTTTGAGGAGTGTTACAATAGGACGAAACGGTCGTCTAGTTCTTGCAGATTCTTCATGATGGTCTAACTTTAATTGACTCATAATCTCACCTATTGAAATTAAACAATAACTGTTAATTTTTAATTGTATTGAAGCCCTGTTAACATAAGTGGAACACCAAGTAGTTTGTTTTCACTCATCGACTATGAATACATTTATCTACATTAAGAAAACTGCTTGTACTAAGCTAAAGAAGTATAAAAGGATTACAGGGTATATGTATCAAAACGACTTTTAAGCAACTGCTCTTGTTTTTTTTCATATAATGATCCATATTGAATCATATAATATTGAACATTATATTAACAACGAACTACCATACATCAATACATCAATCAACAAGTATCTTGATTTCATTGAATGACATGTATCGTATGAATGTTTCTGATTACTTATTCATCTTTACAATGATTGATTTATTATTTATTTATTTATTTTAACACATAAGTATAGGTACAGGGAGGCACCAAGTACATATGCGCCACACGAATTTCAATTGATTTGTGTGAGGGCTGTGATACTGCTCGGGTGCCCAAACCGAAGCAGGTGGTTTTCTTAGGGGGCCACACCCCGAGCCTTCGACCTGAACGTCTGATCCACAAGGCAGTGGAGCATCGTAAGGAGATGCAGTCCCATGGTAGCCAGTGACCGAAAGTTGGTTCATACGCCATTTGTTCCTTCAGGATACTGGAGCCAGCCCATGTGCACCATTGTTTTGGGATTGGGCTGAAGCGCCGGACATTCGCTTTTCGTCCTCTCATTTTCGTAAAAAACACCCCCGCCACGAGAAGGCAGTGAGTAGGGGCTATATACGCATGGCCATGTGAGAGCATTTTTCGAGAGAGAGCGGACTCTCCCCACTCTCGGCCGTACGAGGGCATTTGGGGGCACAATGATTGATTTCTATTGATACGATCAACGGATAAATTCGTATTTTAATTTACCGCTTCACTTTAGTGATAAATGAGTTTATATATATATATATATATATATATATATATATATATATATATATATATATATATATATATATATATATATATATATATATATATATATATATGCTCACTGATATTGAATAGAAGAATTAGGCCAGTTAATCTGAATAAGAATAGAAACAAGAGAACAAACATTAGGATATCTAACTTCTAAATAACTGAATAAACCTTTAACTCTACACGAATAAATGTTCAGAGAAGTGGTAAACATCTATTTTTCATTTCCTTCATATTATAACTAGTGGCTTTTTGCCATATTATTATATCAAACGTAATCATACCACCGTCAATGAGTGAACAGTGAATGATCGACCGGATCAATGACACATAGAACAAGTACGAGCTGTCTAGAGTATTTTTATTGGTATGGCCTCATACCTAGTGTTGCCTGTTGAGTTCAGAACAACAATCTCAGACTCTGCAAATATACTGAGTTTATATACAAAGCAAACAGACCACATCATACCATGTAAATAGAAAATAACATTTGCACAAGACCTAGATAATAATGGTTGTGAATGTGAGAGTATAGGGTTGTAGAGATTATTAAGTATTTTATTGAGGTCATAAACCGATTGATGTTAGACTATCATTGAAAACCTGAAATCATTGGACGGCCCTTTCGTTCTATTGTGGGACTCCTCAGCGGTGTACACCCACTATCCCCTGATTCGCGATTCGTAAGGAAACTTTAAGAGTTCTAGTAAGAAGCCGTGACCAGTGTAGCTAATCCATGTCGGGTAGAGAAAAGTATCTACCTCAGTACAATGGAAGATGGTCGCACAATTTCGTGCGTTGGTTGAGGTTAGACATTAACACCGTTGGATGCTAACTCAGTGGTCTACAGGTTAAGCATTTGAGCACGAGACCGAAGGTCCTAGGTTCGAATCTCGCGGGCTGGATCGTGGATGAATACTATTGGGTAGTCCCACAATAGTACAGATCGGTTATTCAATGATTCCAGGTTTTCAATGGTGATCTAACATCAATTGGTTCATGAGTCAATAACTAATTACAAAATTGTAGACATAAATTTTATAAATCAAATTATGTCGGCTTTCATTGAAATGACTATTGAACATAGAAAAGTAGATCACAGCTATCTTATATTAGATTAGAAATCTTCAGTAGTTCACATATATGATGTTTCAAGGTACAGTCCTATAAACAACTTGAGAATTAAGTCAAACTAGTTGGTCAGAATGAAATTCTTCACATTTCCCAGTTCAATGAGATACGATGTCCGGTAAGATTCAATCTTATTAGAAAACAAACAGATACCTAATCAAACTTCTATGATTCACAATGATTATCGAAAAAAGATGATCTTTATAAAACTATCCCAATTATGATTAAAATTCACTTGTATCATCCCATTGATCAGTCTGTTGTTGGCACATGTGAATCCTGTGCAAACTGCCTTAATATTACTTGAAGCCACAAGTTTTATAAGCAATGATAAGTGGTGGCTAGCAATGAAATCCAGTTTGACGCGAATTTTGTCCTATTTAAGACTCGTCAGCTAGTGTGATTCAGGTACATTCAGATGACAGTTCTTAAATAGATTGAAAAGCGCGTCCTGAATTCCACTGCTAGGCACGATTCATCCTTGCTTATAAATTATTAAAATTGTTCATTACAATTTGTAACTAATATCATATGGGTTTTGTGAACATTGTAGTAATTTCAATAGTTAAGATCATGAATTAATTGAAATTAGACCATCATGAAGAATCTGGAAGAACTAGACGACTGTTTCGTCCTATTGTAACACTCCTCAGAAGTGTGTATCTACTAACCCATCTCACGAGACTTAAACACAGAACCTATCAGTCTCGCGCACGAATGCGTAGTAACTAGATCACTTAACCGGCATGCATTCAACGGTGTCAATGTGTAACTTCAACTAATCTACGAAATTGAGCGACACATTCACCCTTCTCCTCAATGAGTTCCTATCTCACAACAGACCTGGTTGAACTCCACTGGTCACGACTTCTCACTAGAACTTCAGGATATATCTCTTGAAGCCAGTCACTAATGAGCATATATTGATTAATATCAGAATGGGTTTTGTGGATATTGTAGTAATTAAATTTACTCTCCTCATAATCCTAAAGTTATATAGAAGTTATTAGCCCCTCACAAAATACACTCACATCACCACGTGAATATAACCGCTGGCAGGGAAGTCCTACTTACTGCCTTCTCGCGGCACTACTGTTATTTACGAAATCAATAGGACAAAAAGCGAATGTCCGATGCTTACATCGGGTTGGTAGACACGGAGAGTTCATCTAGGGGAGTTGGAAAATTCTGATTCCAAATAAATGGCATATAAACCAATTATTAGTCACCGGTTACCATGGGACTGCATCTTCTGACCTTGCTTCACTGCCTTATGGATCAGACCTTTAGATGAAAAGCTCCGAGTATGGCCCCATAAGTAAACCATCTGCTTCAGTTTGAGCATCGGAGCAGTATCACAGTCCTTCACACAAATTCGATGATTTATATAGCACATATCTATTTGTTGTCTTCTTATACTAATAATTATATTGTGAAACTCCTCAGCAGTGCTCATCCACGACCTCGCCCCTTGCGATATTCGAACTTAGGACTCATTGGTCTAGTGATTAAGTGCTTGCACGCGAAACCAGTAGGTTCTGGATTCGAATCTCACAAGAAGCGAGGTCGTGGATATACACTGCTGAGGAGTCCCACAATAGGACGATACAACTGTCCAGTGCTTCCAGGATTTTTATGATTGTGGTCTAGCTTCAATTGACTCATAATCTTAACCATTGACATTACTACAATCTTCATAAAACCCCTTCTCATAATAATAATTATAATCTTTAAATAAATAGTCTAGAGTACAATATTATTTATACTAATATACTTAAAGTTCAATAAAAAGATCCATATTTACAAGTTTCAATGTGTCAATATGAATGAAATAGAACTTTGGTTTCTATGAGATTATTGACATTTATTTATCTATCTATCTATCTATCCACACATCTATCTATCTATCTATCTATCTATCTATCTATCTATCTATCTATCTATCTATCTATCTATCTATCTATCTATCCACACATCTATCTATCTATCTATCTATCTATCCACACATCTATCTATCTATCTATCTATCTATCCACACATCTATCTATTTATCTATCTATCTACGTATCTATATATATGTAGGTATAAGTGTTCATATTTCATTCATAATGATGATAAGCCTATTTATTCTTAACATTTTATTATTCTTGTTATGTTTCAATTGTCAATTACATAATCAATCATTACATCATCATCATCATCATCATCGTCATCATCCTAGTGATAGTATTGATTATTATCGATTATGGACAATATGGAAATTACATTATTATCAATATTATATAAATAATAATAATAATAATAATAATATAAATGATTTCAATAATTTTACATTATGGAAAATCAATATTCATCAAATATTATTACATAATTTATTATATGATTTAAAATTAAAATCATATCGTAAATCAATAAATCAATATACAATCATGAATTGGAATGATTTTTATAAAAATAAAAAAAAATTATTACATAATCATCATCATCATCATCATCAATATAATAGATTACTATTTAAGGATAAATATAAAAATGTCAATATAATAAATACTAATACTACTACTACTACTACTAATAGTAATAATAATAGTAATTTACCTGATACGATTGATTGGAGAGAGAATGATACTGTGACACCAGTAAAAACACAAGTGAGTTTATGTATATATATTCACATAATTGGCACCCCCCCCCATATCATTCTCTTTTTTTGTTTTTTCAAGTTTGGTTTATATTGAATAAACTAAGATTATAAATTGACTTAGTTACTGTTATGTTTGGTTGTCGCTGATTGTTCTGTCGGAAACAAACGCTGATCAATTATACTTGGAACAAATGGACCACTGCAATTCTCACGACGCAAAAGTAAGAACACAAAGACTGGTATAAGTAAAGATTTATTAGCTCCAAAAACACTATGACGACAACGACGATAACACTGATGATGATCTTATAGTCTAAAATACACTAGTTTATATATTGATTATACATCAATTTTGATTAGTAATTAAGATTACAACTCCATCTGGAGTCCCTCCGGAGGCTAATGCCGATCCAAAGCCCGGATAAAGATGGAGGGTTGGGCATGGGATTAGTGACCCCATTTCGTAGAAAACTAACTCGCCAAAAAAAAAAAAAAACAACGCTAACCAGAAAATTAGGATTACATCACATAATCCGTTATAACAATTCACTTACTGAGTGTAATTCAGGTTAATGGAATACAAGAATATTGTATATTATACAGGATAAAAATATCATGCGAGTAAACAAAATAAATACTACATTGCGTAATCATTACAACATTGAATCAAAACTTATATTGAGTAAATCAATCGAATATTGACTTTTCTTTCCATCATATCAGTTACTTACATTCAGTTATTCTTAAGGATGTATACATTGAATAGGTTAACATTGTTCAATCCAATCTGTTCCAATCTGACTTCATTTCTAGTTCTATCCAATTTTCTCGATGTAATATATTCATTGGTTCGGTAGAAAAACAACTCGCTAAAAAAAAGACTCTATTGCTAAGATCATAAAGTCTTTATTGAATAAAATGTAAAGTACATCAATCCTATTTTCTTATATACTTTTGGTTGTTGTTGTTGTTGTTGTTGTTTGCAATCATTTCTTTGTTTTAGCTCCATCTTTTTCCATAATTCACAATATTGTTTGTGACTGTTGGAATTATAGGGTAAGTGATAGTGAGGATAGACACCAGAGTATTAGGGAATGATGATGGTAAATCAGTTGATGAACTTGTGAATCTTCATAGACTGAGATGGTTGGACCACGTATTCTTATGTATACCTGAATGCTGATTACCATGACGCGTAATGCTGACTAGTATTGGGAATGGTTAGAAGAAAGTTAAGAGTAGCTAAATCAAAACATGGTATCAGTGCTTGACGTCACTAGCTTCTAGTCGTAGGCATGTTGATAGTTGCAGACTACTTGGTTGGGGTGTGTGTGACTATCATAACCAATGGTTGGAGACTCTTGGTGACATGGCTCAGAATCGATCACAATGGCATCAGTGTATACACTCTCTGTCTTCCTTCAAACTAAGAGATTAAAACCACTTCATATCTTTCTTTCTACGAACTAATTCTTTCTTCTTGTATTATATCCATATACACAATCTTTCTTTTATATATTACCACCATTGAGTTGATTGCTTCTATGAATTCGGTGTTCATCTTGTTGTGCTAATGAGGTATGGCAACTTGGACCGTTGCATATATGTACCTGGTCAGCTGCATTGTAGCTGACTGACTGACTAACAATACTCCCTAGAAATCTTCCTCTTCAAAACTGCTTCATTGTCGTTTAACGTTTTTTTCTTTTGTTCAGTGCCCCGTAATTTTAAATCGATATCTTGCATGAAAAACTATAGTTTTGATAATTCTTACAAATTAATCAGATTCATAAATTAAAGAAGATGAGTTCAGAGAAAAGTTCTCTATTCAACGAATTCATTTTCAAAGCTGTACAGTCGCAATCATAGTGATAATAGAATCCTGGTCAATATGATAACAGTAAGGCAGAATAAACAAAAGTCTCAGATAACCCAGTAATAATGTCTCTGACTATGAAGCTAGGTGACACAGGATTAAATCTGTCAGGGAACATCAATCCCCTACAAGATTACAGGTTCACCTTGCTGACGAGTACCGAATAGCACGAAACTTGAGTCCAGGGTTTCTTATTGAATACTTTCAACTACTGTCTTATAAAAACGTTATTTTTATCAAAAAAATTAGTAATAATTTTGTTATTGACAGCTTGAATATTCATTATGAGGATACATAAGGAGATTATAATAGGAAAGGGAAGGTTCATTTTTCATTTCTCGATAGTTGCAGCCAGTATATTAACACAAAAGTAACATACATACAGATATTGAGGAAACCACCGAACTGCGTCACAAGATAAGCCCTCACATGGAATCCTCAGGGCCAAGTGAGGAGAAGAGGAAGACCAAAGAACACATTACGCCGGTAAATGGAGATAGATATGAGAAAAATGAACAAGAATTGAATTGAACTAAAAAAGAAGGTCCAACACAGAATGGGTTGGAGAATGCTGGCCGGTAGCCTATGCTCCATTGGGAGTAACAGGCGTAAGTAAGTAAGTAAGTAAGTAACCTCTAACGGTCATCTAGCAAAGTGGTTGAGAGATCTTCTGGGATTCATCATAAAACCTATTTGTATACATTCTCTATATGACACTTTCGAATTCATTGATTACGTAAAAAAGAAGTGAATATAGCTGACAAACTTCTTCTTTTATTTGATATCGATTCACTACTCACTAGTTTATGATTCACAGAGAACATCAGCTTTATCTACGAATACATAAATAATAATGAGATTAATATCGAACTACCGGAATCTTATCTGAAAGGTATGTACATGATGGTTTTGTAATTCATTACCATAAATATAATTTTTATCATCTAAAACATTTAACCAATGACTTCCCCGACGTGCGATGTTTTATGGTGTAGGAGTAGGTTGGAAGAAATCTAGGAGTAGTCAGACCAAAATATGGCACAAATTCATGAAGTCACTGACAAGTGGACTGCATGAGCCATATTGGTAGGGGTAGACTATCTGGTTGGGATCTGTGAGATGATAGCAACCGATGGTCAGAGACACTGAATGACATGACTCAAAATCGTTTGCAATGGTATGTGCAGGTGCATCCACTCTTTGTGTTCTCCCAAATACTAATCTTTTGAATTCTTCATGTCCCTTTCTTTTTTCTCTTTACAAATTTATTTCACTAGATTATTCTCCTTGAATGAAATCACCAAACCCTAATCTTTCCGATGACTAGTTATACTTTTACTACCTCTACCACTACGGGATTTGAATCTACAATTCTATCTCTGTGCTAATGTGATATGGCAACTTGAACTGATGTGCATACGTACGAAGTTCTACGTCACACTAGAAGATGAAAGCAATCAAGGTATTCACTTTCTTGATGTCGAAATGATCAGTAAACATGACTATTAAAAATATAAAACCCAGACCACCTTAAGCACTGATAACCTCAGCGGAAAAGAAGACACTTATGTGAACATTGATTTCAAAGGTGATATAGTTATCGAAACCCTGAAGTGACAAATTTCAGACTCACTCAAATAAAACATTCTTAGCAACCTTGCGAATACTGTTCGCTAATTGATCAATGATCATCAATAATTTTAGAAATAAATTATCTTGTTTGATCAATTTTCTCTGTGTTTATCAATTTATTTACTCATATGGACCCAGGTATATCAGTCATTTGATACTTATGTTATCAGAATGAGTTCGAGAACATTACTCAGCTCAATTAGAAAAAGATGGTAATAGCTCAATAATATGTTCAATAAACGAACAACTTGTGAACACAGGTCATTCAATCAGAGCGGGCTATGTGTTCAAAGTCATCTACAATGCAAGTAGAAAGCCGCCAAACACGATTATATTCCATCTTGTTAACACTACCAAAGCAATAACCATACTACTGGAAAGACTAGGATTACGTGTTCAAAAGAAACTAGTACAACCTCTTCTTCGATCATTGTTTTATACTCTTGTAGTTTCCTTCTCCCTCCTTCATTCTTTTCTTTTTTTTTCACAGCTGTATACTTCTGTTCTGTCTTCTCTATGAACAATTTATGCTCAATTGTTTTGTTTCTGTTCCCATGATCCTCCTAATCACAATTCATCTTAATTTCAACACTTTATCTTATCATGATAAGCCTTCTCTTCTCTATTATAATCTCCTTATCAATCTTTATGATAGATGTTCATGTTGTCAACAATAAAATTACTATCTATAAATGGTTATGAAGATCGTTGAGCTTTTATTGAGAGAGATCATGAATGGATAAATGTTAGATCACCATTGAAAACCTGTAAGTACTGCATAGTCATTTGATTTCACTATGACACTTCTCAATAGTGAGCATCTACCGTAAATAATTTACTGAAATAATATAAAGATAGTATTCTTTTTTTAATTCTGATTAGTAGAGGTCAGATGTTTTCAAAAGTAGAAGAAATTGAAGATCATTTACAACGAATAACTTCAGTTAATAGATTCACGTATTTATTTGACAGGTTATCTAAGATTACTAGGATATCATTAGAACATCGTGTTTCAATAAATGTCACTCAAATATATTATGATTATCTTTTTCTATAGGACAATTGTGCATCTTCATGGGCGATTGCCTCAGTCGAAGCGCTTGAAGGTCAAGTTAAAAGAAAAACAGGAATTCTTACTCCATTATCTTCACAACAACTGATAGATTGTACTGGAGATCATGAATGTGTGGAGAATCCAGTATCTGTAGCATTTGATTTTATAAAAGAGTATGGTGTAGAATCTGAAAAAGATTATCCTTTTACTGGTAATGTAAGTATATTATTGATTAGTGTATTTAATCAAAGCTATAAGGCAACAGCCTCCAAATGCCCTGGTACAGCAGAGAATGGGAAGAGTCCGCTCTCCCTCTCCATATACTCTCATATGACCACGCGTATATAGCCTCTACTAGCAAAGTAATACTCACTGTCTTCTCACATCACGAGTGTTGTTTACGAAATTGAGAGGATGAAAAGAGAATATCCGGTGATTTAAAACAATCCCAACCCAAACCAATGGTGCACATGGGCTGGCTCCAGTATCCTGCGACAACAAATGGCGTATGAACCAATCGTTGGTCACTGGCTACCATGTGACTGCATCTCCTTACGATGCTCCACTGCCTTGTGGATCAGATCTTCAGATCGAAGGCTCGTGGTTTGGCTCCCTAAGTAAACCACCTGCTTCGGTTTGGACACCCTGTCAGTATCACAGTCCTCACACAAATCAAATGAGATTTGTGTGGTGCATGTGTATTGGGTGCCTCCTTGTACCAATATATATATATATATATATATATATGTGTGTTAAAATAAAATAAAATAAGGCAACAGACTATTAGAATTTAAACTACAATGATTGTTTAGAGATTAACTATTGGACATAGAATGAAATTCGATCATTATGTATCCCTTATTCTGAAGAAGTTTTTTTATATTCATACAACAACATGAATACCGGATTCATAGAAGTAGTTAATTCAGTGGTGGTAATATATAAAATAAAGATTGAAGTGATTTTAATCTCTTAGTTTAAGGGAAAACAACCAATGTATACACCAAAGTCATTCTGATCGATTCTGAGTTATGTCACTCAAAGTCTCCAATCATTGGAGTTGAATACTTTTTTCTGGTTAGCATTTTTTTAGCGAGTTAGTTTGCTACGGGATGGATTCGCTGACTCCATGCCCAACACTCCATCTTTATCTGGTTTTAGGACCGGCAGTAACCCCAGGATGGACTCCATGCGGAGTTAATCATTGAAGGGTATACACCTATTTTTAACAGTTACTTCGCTATACCTAAATACGACTGCTTAATCATTCGTCAGAATATTATGAAATAAAAAGATTAACGATAAACATATATCTTAAAGTATACATTGTTAAGGAATTGAAGTTTTATAGATGAATGAAGCCGATTCACAACTAATCATATTGTATAGAGACTTTCTTTTTCAGAGGCAATAAACTGGATATCAAAATACTAAAAAGATTAGAATATCTACAACAAATTTGGATACAATGAATACACTTTACTAATTTTGAAAAGAGTAAGAATAAAAGATTCTAATAGAATCACAATTGATTGATCACTGGTTGACCAATGTCATGCGTGTCTAGTCCTTATTATTAGTGCAGATCGAATGCTATCGATCATGTTGCAATGTGGCTACCAGTCTTGGTGACTCGACACCGCGGGCACTATTTTAAGATTCGATGGTGTTTGGAGGTAGTCAACAGGAAACCCTCGAGCCGGGTTTCGTGCTATTTGGCACTCGTCAGCAAGGTGTACCTGTAATCTTTGAGGGATAGCTCAGTGGTAACGTCTCTGACTGTGAAGCTGGGTGACACGGGATCGAATCCGTCAGGGAGCACCAGTTCCCTCAAAATTACAGATACACCATGCTGACGAGTGCCAAATAGCACGAAACCCGGGTCAAGGGTTTCCTGTCAACTACCTCCAACCACCATCGAATTCTAACAGAATAGCATGAATTCATTTTTATTATGTTTGGTTCTCATCAGCTGCTTACAACCTGTGATATTTACGTATCATAACTACATAATAGATTTAAATGACTTACATGAAAGTGGTTTGGTTAGAAGGTATATTGAAGACATATTAGTAGTATAGTATAGAAAGGGTGAAAATAAATTGAATAGACTGAATATTGTAAATATATATACTTTATGTGATGAAAGAACATTCTACAATATTGATTGTGAGAACAGTTCAAAAGGGTTACAAACAATTGATTACATAATGAATAAACATTGGTAAGAATATATATATATATATATATATATATATATATATATATATATATATATATATACATTGGTACAAGGAGGCACCCAATACACATGCACCACACAAATCTCATTTGATTTGTGTGAGGACTGTGATACTGACCGGGTGTCCAAACCGAAGCAGGTGGTTTACTTAGGGAGCCACACCACGAGCCTTCGACCTGAAGATCTGATCCACAGGGCAGTGGAGCTGTAGTGTCTGTCATTATGTTAAGCCCATATACCTTATTCTAACTTTCGGACATCTCAATCTATTCATTCTACTTGAGTCATATTTTGACCTTGTAAATTATTCGCTAATCAATCTTGACTGTCTTTGTATGAGCACGTGGGCGTGTGTACACTTCTTATCACACTGTTCATCACAGGTCTGTAATTTATCTTGATGTGCTTATAAATAGTGATTAACTCTTTGTTAAGGGGGAGTTGGCTTACCAGCCATCTCCACCGCTCGTCAATTTTGCTTCGCTTTCTTCTCTTCGCGTCGTTCTCCCGTTCGTTTGTCTAATCAACAATTCTACAAAATATATGCATTCAAAACTCCATTCTCGTTATTTAACTTATTTAATTCCGTTATTAACTAACGCGATTTAAGTCAATGATTATATACGAGGATAGACGATAGCAACCTATCATTACGATCAAATTGGAGTCAGATCACGGGCCACTAAAGAGCATCGTAAGGAGATGCGATCCCGTGGTAGCCGGTGACCAACGACTGGTTCATACACCATTTATTCCTCCAAGATACTGGAGCCAGCCCATGTGCACCATTGGTTTGGGTTAGGATTGTTTTAAATCACCGGATATTCGTTTTTCTTCCTATCAATTTCGTAAACAACACCCATGATGCAAGAAGACAGTGAGTATTACTTCGCTCGTAGAGGCTTTATACGCGTGGTCATGTGAGAGCATATGGAGAGGGAAAGCGGACTCTTCCCACTCTCTGCCGTACCATGGCATTTGGTAGCAGAGTTCAGTTGAAAGATTATTAATTTAGAAGATAGTTGAAAAAAATAAAAATCAATGATGTAATAAATAAAAGAAAGAGTTCCAAATAAATAAAAAAAATTTTTTTTTATGTTACAGTGAAACATTATTTGTCACCAAGGTAGGGAAAGATTAATAACCATCTATTTTTTGAATACATATATCAAGTTTTTGACACCTGATAGCAAAAAGCCTTAGCAAACTTCAAAAAGCTGAAATTTAATTTCTTACTAATCATCCTAAAGGATTGCAACGTATCAATCTGATATCCTATATCAACGAGATAAATCTAATAAAATCGATATTATTTAGAATATGAGAATCATTATCAGTATAGAGGATAGATTATTGATTATAACATTTTCATAAATTTGTATATAAAAACTTTATAATTTATTGATTTTCACTTTTAGAAATTATTTGTTAGTAACAATATCCATGGAGATTGTTCTGATTTATTAAATACCCCTATTCAATATAACTTTTCTTTTTTTTTAACTCTATAATGTAGACATTTTATGATACAATATTTACTTTTGATTAGATCATAAATTTTACTAGTAGGATAAATATATTTCAATCAAACATCATAATCATAATCATCCTTTCTTTTTCTCCTGGTGATCAACTGGATCATGAAGATGTCAACATCTGAAGGAAAACACGGGATACAGTGGACAGCTAGGATGTAGTTGGATGATCTAGACTTCGCAGATGATCTGACTCTTCTATCGCAAACACAATAACAAATGCAGGAGAAGACAACCAGTGTAGCAGCAGCCTCAGCAGCAGCAGCATTAGGTCTCAATATACACAAACGGAAAAGCAAGATTCTCCGATATAACACAGCATGCAACAATCCAATCACAATTGACGGAGAAGATTTGGAAGATGTAAAAACCTTTACATATTTGGGCAGCATCATCGATGAACACGGTGGATCTGATGCAGATGTGAAGGCACGGATTGGCAAAGCAAGAGAAGCATATTTACAACTGAAGAACATCTGGAACTCAAAACAACTCTCTATCAACCAACACCGAATTCAGAATTTTCAATACAAATGTCAAGATAGTTCTACTGTATGGGTTGGAAACCTGGAAAACTACGAAAACCATCATCCAGCAGATACAAGTGTTTATTAACAATTGTCTACACAAAATACTTCAGATCCGTTGGCCAGACACTATCAACAACAATCTACTGTGGGAGAGAACAAATCAGATCCCAGTTGAGGAGGAAATGGGGAAGAAGCGCTGGAAGTGGATAGGACACACATTGAGGAAAGCATCCAACTACATCACAAGGCAAGCCCTCACATGGAATCCTCAAGGTTGAAGAAGGAAAGGACGACCGAAGAACACATTACGCCGGTAAATGGAGATGGACATGAGAAAAATGAACAAGAATTGAATGGAACTAGAAAAGAAGGCCGAGGACAGAGTGAGTTGAAGAATGCTGGTCGGCGGCCTACGCTCCATTAGGAGTAATAGGCATAAGTAAGTAAATTATTGTCATCATAGTTTCACAAGTTTAATAAAATATCAGACATGTTCTTTGATGTATACTTTCACTATATGATTTATTATATAAAATCTTAATCTAAAGATTTTTCAATATCTCTCTAGGTTGGAAATTGTTCGTATAATTCATCAAGGAATATGACAACTTTATCCTCTTATGTACAAGTTAACGATAATGAGATGGATCTTCAAAAAGCTGTGTATAATATTGGCCCTATAGCAGTAAGAATTACTATGACTCAGGAATTTCTCACTTACGGGTAAATAAATTGAAAATATTGATTTTATTAGCTGAAGTCATGAGTCAATTGAATCTACATCACCATGGAAAATCTGGAAGCATTGGACCAACGTTTCGTCCTATCATGGGACTCCTCAGCAGTGAGCATCCACGACTCCGCCCTCCGAGAGATTCGAACCCAAGATCTACTAGTCTCGTACGCGAATGCTTAACTTCTAGACCACTGAGACGGCCTGCATCCAAAAGTGTGAATGTGTAACTTCAACTAATCCATGAAATTGAGTGACATATCCACCATTGTCTTCAGTGAGCTGATATCTCACAACAGACCTGGTTGAACTTCACTAGTCACAACTTCTCACTAGAACTCCAGGAAATGCCTCTTAAAGTTAGTCACTAGTGAACAGATGATTATTATCAGATGAGGTTGAACACAATTACTAACGAATCCCGCGAGCGGTATCGTGGATGTGCTCTGCTGAACAGTCCCATGTTAGGATAAAACGGTTGTCCAGTGCTCACAGGTTTGCTATGGTGGTTGTCTATTTGAAAAGCTTTAAATTTTTGGATATTTTAGTCACTAAAATACTTTGTGGCTATTAAAGAATATCTGATTCTTTGTTTGAATGTGTACGGTCATCCGTGGAAACCAATTTAAGAGGTGTCTGTCAATTACTTATATTCTAATTACTACCTCAATTAGTTTAACTATCAATTTCCTTAAAAAAATTTTAAAACTAAACCTTTTAGTCCTTCAAATATGTCAGAACCTCAGTAAAACTATTACGGTTCGTATAAATATTCTATTCATAGTGCATCTGTTTACAATTGAGGAGTGACTATGAGCTTGCTGAGCTACTTCTTGAAGTATTCTCCATCCATAATCAAAACTTCTTTGGTAACAATCACCGTAACCATTATTTTTGGGTCATTTTAGTAATAAACATCCCGACTTTATATGTTCGACCATCAGCTATTGATCACTTATTTGGTAGATTTTCAATCCATTCTGATTCGTTTCTCAGTTTTCTTAGATGAGATGCTTTTTCTACCTGTTTGTTTGAATCATCAATCGATTTAAATAGCAGAGCTTCAGATTATCAATCGTCTATACTGAAGATGAAGCATCTCCATGAAACATTTCCTTTTATATATCGATAGTTATCAAGTTAATCCCACTTTGAAATTATCTACGACGACTTCATCTTGAAATGTGAGATAAAAAAAGTCATAAAATATTCACTTTGTTAGTTCATACAAGCCAATGTATACTCACTTTTAAATTTATTCCATAAGTAACTGAGATTCTATATTCAATCTCTTTAAAGATGATTAGTTAGTAATCGATATTTTTCTCAATACAACCAATACAATGGTTAAGATCATGAGTCAGTTGAAGCTAGACCACCATGAAAAACCTGGAAGCACCGCTCACTAGTGACTGGCTTCAAGAGGTATATCATGAAGTTCTAGTGAGAAGTCGTGACCAGTGGAATTCAACCGGGTCAGTTGTGAGATAGTAACTCACTGAAGACAATGGTGGATGTGTCACTCAATTTTGTGGATTAGTTGAAGTTACACATTAACACCGTCGGATGTAGGCCGACTCAGTGGTCTAGTGGTTAAGTGCTCGCGCGCGAAACCAATAGGTTCTGGGTTGGAATCTCACAGGTGGAGAGTTTGTGGACTCGCACTGCTGAGGAGTCCCATGATAGGACGAAACGGCCGTCCAGTGCTTGCAGATTTTCCATGGTGGTCTAGCTTCAATGGATTCATGATTTCAACCAGTGAAATTTCTAAAGTCTCCACACAATCCTTTCTGATCATACATATACATGTCAGAGCATTCTATATGAAAATTAATAAAGGTCAATTACCTGAAAGTGCAATTACAAACAAACAAAAATAACGAAACGGAAGAGAAAGAATAAGAAATTGTCGCATTATCCTTGGCTATAGAATGACCTAAGGATTACCAAGGTAAATACAGGGTTTCGACAATTTGTTTTTGTACACATAAGTGATGGGGTTTAAATTTACAAATAGCCAAGGTTTCAATCAATCTGAGAATTCGACCTTGAGAACGTTTTAAAAGCTGTATTAATTGTCAATTTTGTACCCCGTTTCAATTATATGTTTCGCTATTGATGAACCTGGTTTTCTACCACCCAAATTGATCGGATCATTTGACACACATTGACTTTGAAGGCATCTAGGTACATGTTTAATGACGCTTGATTGCATTGTTCGATTACTTCTCCCTATGTATGTGTGTCCACAAAAACATGTAAATTACTAAATACAATGGGATGTGACGTAATCATTAGTGCATTGTCTGGGTCTACTAGAAATCATGGCCTTAGACTTTTCAATCACAACCAATTGAGCAGTATAATAGGTATTCTCGATCGCTGCTTTCAATCACTATCTTAAAACTATTCTGTTAGATCTACCTCTATATGGTAGATTGATATAAACATTTTTTCTTTGAAAATGAATAACCAAAAGGTCTTGGCATTAACTCACTTTCGCATCTATTAATAAACTTTAATGGATAACCATTTGTTATTAATGTGTTAGTCAGTAACTTTTCATCGTTTTCCAATCGTGTCATCAGTGCGAATTTTTTATGTCCTCTCAAAGAGATACTTGATCAAACCTCGATTATATTGTAATGAACAGAAACTATAGAAATTTAAGTATTGTTCCGTTGAAGTGGATTTCCTTAACATTAACCGTCTTATAGTACAATCCTCCGTTTGATTTAAAAAGTATATTTCCTCTTTGTTACGTTTTTTGTTTGCATTTGAACTTTTATTTCATTAATGTTTATTTATTTTCATATAAAAAATACCCTAACAAGTATATAATATGTGATCAGATTGTTCGAAATGTATAGCACAAATATATCAGACATTTTCATATCAGATCAACTCCATCTTCTTATTGTTCTATCAAAATTTATAAAAAGAGACTAATTGATTATATTTATTTATTTATTTTAACACATAAGTATAGGTACAGGGAGGCACCAAATACATATGCACCACACAAATCTCAATTGATTTGTGTAAGGGCTGTGATACTGCCCAGGTGCCCAAACCGAAGCAGGTGGTTTTCTTAGGGGGCCACACCCCGAGCCTTCGACCTAAACGTCTGACCCACAAGGCAGTGGAGCATCGTAAGGAGATGCAGTCCCATGGTAGCCGGTGACCAACGATTGGTTCATACGCCATTTGTTCCCGCAGGATACTGGAGCCCATGTGCACCATTGGTTTGGGGTCCGGTTAAAGCGCCGGACATTCGCTTTTCGTCCTCTCATTTTCGTAAACAACACCCCCGCCACGAGAAGGCAGTGAGTAGGACTTCCCTGGCAGAAGCTATATACGCATGGCCATGTGAGAGCATTTCGAGAGGGAGAGCGGACTCTCCCCACTCTCGGCCGTACCATATTATCATATGAATTCTGATTTTCAATAATTAAAATCAATAAATCAATATCTGTTTTTTTTTGTTTTTCATTATAGAAGTGGAATATTATTAATAGATAATTGTCAAGATGAAGAACCATTTGAAACAGTTTTATTAATAGGTTATGGTATAGAGAATAAAATTCCATATTGGTTAATTAAATTTAGTTTAAGTGAACAATTCGGTGATCATGGTTATATGAAATTAGCTAGAAATTATAATAATATGTGTCATATTACTAATTTTGCATATTATCCTGTTATATAATTAATATTTTATACTATAATAATGAACTGATAAAAATCAATAATAAATAAACTAAATTCATTTATACTTTTTATTATTTTGTTTATTAAAGTCTTTACCATACAGTTTATAGGCCACTAAATGTCATGGTACAACTGAGAGTGGAGGGGGGGGGGAGTCCGCTCTCTCACTTCAAATGCTCTCACATCACCATGCGTATATAACCTCTACTAGCGAAGTAATATTCACTGTCTTCTCGCATCATGGGTGTTGTTTACAAAAATGAGGAGGACGAAAAGTGAATGTCCGATGCATTAACCCAATCCCAACCCAAACCAATGGTGCATATGGGCTAGCTCCAGTATCTTGAAGGAATAAATGGTGTATGAACCAATCGTTGGTCACCGGCTCTCATAGGACTGCATCTCCTTACGACGCTCCACTGCCTTGTGGATCAGATCTTCAGGTCGAAGGTTTGTGGTGTGGCTCCTTAAGTAAACCACCTGCTTCGCTTTAGGCACCCGTGCAGTATCACAGCCCTCACACAAATCAAATGAGATTTGTGTCGCATATATATTTGGTGCCTCCTTGTACCAATACCTATGTGTTAAAACAAATGAAACAGCTTGTATTATTATTCCATACCAAACTTCAGTTTCTATGAATAGGACTATTGATGTTGCTTTAAGTGTCTTAACTGTATTTTGTAGATAACTTGTGAACTGATTAAGAATGGTATTTCATGAGTGATGTGATTAGGATATTTTTAGCATGATTTTAGTAAATCTCCAAGTCATTGCTTTTTGATCATTGTAGAAAACAGTCTCTGTTTGTTAACAGATCTCCTAGGACTAAGCTTGATGTGACATAGGCGAAAGCAGCATATCTACACACAGACCATCTTAATATTCTTGTTTAATGATTCAATCAATTAACTCTTTCATATTTTTACTCAAAAATACGATATTTGGTTGTAATCTGTATGAATCAAGCGTTAATAGACCACTTCTTTCCCCTGGAATCAGCCTACGTCAATAATAACGGTTGAGATTGCATACGAAAATACTGAAACTTATTGCATTTCAACACTATTGAAACCTTTGTACCGTGGTAATCCCACGTAATTAACAACCATTCTTATTAGTTACTTTATCTTGCTGGTGGCGGCGTCCGAGTTAAAGTCGACTCACGTGTAGTGAGAGCCAGAAGGGCTTGTGACAATCTGGGCCATCTTTGGCGCCTTCGTGATGTTAGTCTGACCGTGAAAGATCGGGCCTACAACGCGTCGCTGAGAGCAGTTTTGCCCTGTTTTGTGAAACCTATCCACCTCAAGTTGAGGAAGTTAGACAAATCTGTGTTTGTTCATCGTTATCTCCAAAGGATTGCTGACACAGTAGCAACGCCATGTTAGTAATGCTCAGGTTTGGAAACCGTGTGTTCGGACACAGTGACGACAACTCAGTCTTACCACTATGAAACACTGACCTCGATGGCTCGGATACGTACTACTGATGTCTCAGAGGATTCCATATCGTGCATTTCTTTCCGACGCTAGGAGCGGTTGGAAGAGAGCGGGGAGGTAGTCGGTGTATGACAAGGTGCTGTGGCATGAAAGCTGTACAATACTGGCTCCTGTTGGTCCTTCACGACTACCTGGTCGGGGTCCTAGAGATGGTGCAACACTGGATTAAGACGTTATCAGAAATGGTACGGAATAGAAGCCGATGACGTTACTACTTTCTTCATATAGGTGAGGGTAACTTTAACTGAGAAATTCTCCCAAGTTTTATTTTTCCCGAACTACCTCTCCTATTATTATTATTATTTCGCCCCCCATACAGTAATTTCTGTTCGTTGTTGTTCTTATTTTTTATTATAATCTTTCCTTTCTCTACCTCTTTAAAATCTCATTTTTGTGTGGCACGTCGACACTTTAGTCTCACCTTGTACCAATGTTTACGTGTCTAAATAATAATAAATTCATCTTGTAAGATACTGTACATACTGCGAAATCTACTTATTACATTATGTTCACTGAAAACATGAAGGCTTTCTCTAAAGTTCCGTCTTCATTTGGCTAGTTTTTTTCTAGTATACTAGTTAGTGAATTAGGAAAGAGTGACTTAAGCGTGGATTATCAAGCATGCTAAATACGGTATCAGAGTTAGCATAAAGTCAGAAGTATCATTGGTGTGGGTGAATTCATGACCCTTTCTTATTTATTAAAGCATATCCATTTGTTAAATCACTTTAGTATTTAACATACTCTTATCTTTTTGATTGAACTCCCACTTTGTCTTTAACGTTAGTATTGCTAATTAGGCAGCTTTAGATGGCACGTCTAATGAACTGAATAAATATTTGGCTGAATACTATTAATCATATATTTACGTTACTTATACCTAACAGCTTTCACATTTATAAAGTAGCATTCAGAGAACTGCTGTATATTACTTAATTATTCACGATAAAACTTAATAATAGAGAAATAAGAGACAATTATCAGTTTGTGTATTGTCCTCTCCACTTGATAATCAACCAATAGTTGGGATACTGCATTTGTTTGAGGTATTTCAAGATTATCCTTCATGAATAAACTTAGATCTAAATAAGGTAGATTTATGTTGATTTACATTGTAAGGCAAGTGATAACCGGTATTCAAAATATCATACAGCAATAACTAATGTGCACATAATCGTAATATATCACTAAGTATAAATTTTTAATCAATGATTTATAATATCGACTCACACCATAGACAATTTAGAATTCTTAATAAAAATGACCAAAAAATAAGTGAAACTATAGATTAAGAATATTACATTCACTTATATGGTGTATAATTGTCAGTTTATTATTATTATCACTGAAAAATGGAGAATCAACTAAAAATATTTAGACGTTCTAAGTAAAGTTAATTCAAAGCAAAAAAAATCCCTAACATATGAAAGAGATGTAAATATAAATAATCAGAAAATATACGTTAAATTATATCAAAATGAAATAGAGGACGAATAACAGGAATGTCAAAATAATGTGAACTAAAAGATTCTCGTTGATTATATATGCAGACAACATTGATAGGTATTTGGTATTTTATACTGATATCCCACACTTTTCCAAAAGTGACACTGGTACATCTCCTTGATCTATGTACTGACACAACTCAAGCAACTGAATGAAGTTAATTATATTAAAAAATTTGGCAAACACCTTACTTTGTCAATATCACGTTTCATTTTTATAACAGTGAGCTCACGCAATCGTACACTTTCAGCTAGATACTGGATGCGAAGGGCTTTTCGTTTTCTGCAGTCCTTGGCGCTTTCCGAGCTTCTTGAGGTCGTAGGAGCAGTTGTATCAACAATCAGGTGATTGTCGAAAACTATGTGATTATCACTAATTGGTCGTTTCATCTACCACGTGTTCAGAAATAAAGGCTCTCCCTAAAATCACAATGGAGGAAACTCTTTATTGAAGTTTGTTCCATGAAACATTTAGTTTCCCTATAAAGACAATGCATCTTATGAATATGAGAAACCGAATTTATAACATGATAAAATTTTCAAATATTTTGAAAGTTTGAAACAATCACTAACTTAAACCAAGTCAGAGATCGAGGTCAGTTCGATGAGACTACGTCCAACTCCTAGGACTCAGGTCAGTATCTCAGTCGGCTTAGCTAACGAAATTAGATCTCCATTGTTAAATACCTCTGGAGCCAATCTATCACAATTCAGCTAGCCAAACTTTCTATTGTACTTAGTTATAGACACTTTTTGGAAGTAATGCTTTTGTCATCCAACTTCTCAGGGATTAACCTATCAGAAAATTCAATTATCGACTTAGGATGCGCTGAGATGCACTCGCGTATTTTTTTCTGGGATCTTTTAAGCTTATAAACTTTACTGGAACCGTTGGGATCCAGTCAGATAGAAATTTACCTTTAAAAAGGTATTCAAACTTTAAATAAACCTTTAACGGGAACGTTTGTTTGGCAGTCATGAAGAGAATGAAAGGCTTTAGATATAAGAATTAACCTGACAGTACGGATTATAGGTCTAGAAACGGAAAAATAGAGTAAATGGAAAATAATTAACTAATTACTTCTTGGAAAGTAATGATAAAGACATGAACGAAAAAGTTTCCCCAAGTGTTTTTTTCGCATTTTTATGTCAGCTTTACAGTAGCGATAATTAAAAAGTGAAAACCATCATACGTTGTTCCTATATAGTGTCTGAAATAAGACTAACATACATACAAAACACCATGATGAATCTCATTCACATAAATGGCAGTGACCACATGGTCGATATCTAAAAACTGTGCAAAAACCACGTTATGTATAATTTTTGATCACTAAAACTTCAAAAAAAAGAAAACTTGATCAACTTAATTTGGTTGGTTTTAATTCCTGATTGAGATGACTTCACAGAAGTCCAACGGATCTCTACAGAATTAGTCTGAATAGGAAACGAAAACAACGAATGAACCATGAACGGTTCAGACAGAGTATCTAGAAACAAACAAATACTGGTTTTAATCTCTATCCCTTCAACAACAGCAAAAACAGAAGTAATCTGAAGATATATCGACAAGGTCAAATAATTATAGGCTGAACAAAAAAACAGATACTATCAAACAAATGAAAACGAACGATTTGGATTTTAAAGCCTATGTTTTAAGATAAATTAAAAGCAAAATGAAAAATTAGAAAAGCTCCTAATACAAAAACCTCAAGTAACGCATAATGTTGAAAAGCGCCCCACAGTATCTGTACTTGGTTAACATATATCCAGTCTTCAGTAATAAGGACATTAGGTTAGTGAACCTGTGTTAATCCTAACAGGTTGCCTTCCAGTGAAGGTCCAGTTTCTCTTTGAAAATATTCACTGATGGGGCTGATACCACTTGATCGGGGAAAGCGTTCCAATCATTGACTACTCGATGAGAAAAACGGAACCCCACCTTGAGTTCATTAGATCGTGGTTTATGACCCTTCTTGCTATGACCTCGGAGATTATTAGTGCTGGAGGGAGCAAAAAGATAGGACATATTAACACCCAAATCATAATTAAAGATACGAAATGCCAGTATAAGGTCACCTCGAGTCCTACGATACGACAAGGGGAAAAGGTTTAAGCATTTTAAACGCTCATCGTAAGGGAGTTTAGAAAGACCCTTCAATAATTTCGTTCCCACACGCTGGACGCGCTCAAAAGAGGTAGTATCCTTTATCAGACATGGGCTAGCTGCTTGAATACAGTACTCTAAATGCGGTCTTACATAGTTGGGATATAAAATTTGAAACATTTCCTCGTCAAAGGATTTGAACGCTCGGCGAAGTGACCAAAACGCACGAAAACCTTTGACAGCGGCTGCGTTGCAGTGCGTAGTTGTTTTTAAATCATGACTTATTATTACTCCTAAGTCTTTATGTTCTTGAACTCATGGAAGAGGTTTACCATCAATAGTATAATGGTAACTATTGCCGTGACCGATGTGCATTAGCACACTCTTCCTAGAATTGATTTCTAGACCTCAATCTCGAGCCCATCTAACTAAATCGTCTAAGTCAGCTTGAAGATCCAGATGATCAGCCTCACCTCTTATTGCTCTCCATATTTTGACATCATCCGCAAATAATAATGTCGACGACCTAAACAACAGCGGTAATTCATTTACGTAGAGAAGGAATAGCAGAAGGCTTAATATGGTGCCTTTGGGTACACCATTATTGACCGGCTTCCAATCGAATAGCGTCCCATTGACCCTCACTCTCTGTCTGCAGTCACATAAGAAGTTTCCTATCCACTCCTGTACAGTACCTATTATTCCGAAGCTTGTGAGCTTCTGCATAAGACCTAAGTGTGAAACCTTGTCAAATGCTTTGCTAAAATCTATGAATATAACATCGACAGACAGACCTTTATCTAAGGCTGCTGTTCAATCCCCTCTCACAATAAATAAGTTAGTCAAGCATGAACGCTTATCACGAAATCCATGTTGCTCAGGAGCTAACAGATTGTGTGAATCTATGTGGCTTAGCAACCTAACTCGAATTATCTTTTCAAGTAACTTAACGACAATGCTAGTCAGACTGACAGGCCGGTAGTTAGGTACGATCTGTCTCTGACCATGCTTAAATATAGGACTGACAATAGCATCTTTCCAATCCGTAGGTAGTTGAGCGAGTGAAAGGGACATGTAGAAAAGTGTCGCGAGCGGTTTTGAAATAATGTCCGCAAGAGATGACAGCAATCGTGGATGTAACCCGTCAGGACCCGGTATCTTACAAGGTTTGAGGTTAATTATTAACGGAAGGACAGTTTCTTCAGTCACCTGTACAGATTCAATGGCTGGTATCTCGGCGTGATTGGGACAAGTATTTGTTACAATAAACGTAGAGTAGACTTCGCTAAAATAGTTTGAAAATGTCTCAGCTTTGGCTCGATCTGATTCAGCTAGTAAATCTGAATTATCGTGTAACAATTATGGGGGAATACTATCACTACGTTTTATTTGACGTTTAACATACGAAAACAATCGTTTTGGACAAGTACGGCTATCATATACCAACTGTCGTTCATAAGTAGTACGGGATTTAGCTATTGTTTTCTTACAAATATTCCGGAGTTTTTGGTACTCACGCTTAAACGATGCATGACCTATCAACAAGAATAAGTCCCAGAAGTGTTTCCTACGCTTTAACAGCTTACGGGTTTCCTTATTAATCCATGGAGGGCAGTGCGATAGCTTACGTACTGACCATGGGATAAACGGCGACGTTACGGACTCGAATGTAGCCTTAAACTTAATCCATTCGTATTCGATCGATCCATATGCGTCAACTGACCAATCAGTAGAGATCGCACAGTCTCTGATTGCCGGAATATTAGCCCGCCAGATATTGGGACGGGGTGGAGCAGATACAAATTGTATACCATGTGTCCTAAACTTAAAGTGAAGTGCAACGTGATCACTGTTCACTAGTGGAGGAAGGTGCTGAATATCAAAGACATCCTCACAGTGGTGGGTGAGGGCGAGGTCCAGCAGTGACAGATCACGTTTCACATCAATATGTGTCGGTTTAGTGATACAATGGACAAGTGCACACTGAATAACTGTTGATAAAAGTTCGCTATCGAAACCTTCACCGGGAGCTGTAAGCTCTATCCAGTTTATGTGCGGAGCGTTGAAGTCCCCAATGATGAGGCAACATTCTGCCATACTCCAAGAACAGATGTGTCTTAGGATAAAGTCGTCAGCAAGACAACACGTACTACGGTATATTCCGCCTATAGTCACTAATCCATTTCTAGATTTAATCTTACAACATGCTACCACACATGTACCATTAACATGAGCCTCCGATATGATTGATTGTATACAAAATTGGTCCCTAATGTATAACATTATGCCTCCCCTCTTGCGGCTTAAAACTCTATCACTTCTAATATAGATATAGCCTGCAATGATGGGAGAACATTCTATATCTACGGTGAACCAAGTTTCTGTAATGACAATTATATCGGGACTTAATTCATCCACCATCAGACTTAGCTCGGACGTTTTATTCCTAAGACTACGGACGTTCGTGTAGCACACACTTAAAGTGTTTTGGTAATCATTCGTTCTACCCATACAGGCCTCGGAAGCATTGGCTTCCAAGACCCGACTACCCGAAAACCCTTATTGGTAAGGTTAGTTTCGACATTTAACTTGCGAGTTCTTAACTCCGCAAGAGCATTCTTCCACTTGATACGATCCTCAAGCGGCCAATCTGGTCGGATACGAATATTTGAATCACGAATTTTTGTGCGTTTTTCAATAATATATCTCTTTCTTCAAAACTCCCTAGAACCAGCTTCAAGATCCTTCTTGGTTGGGTCTCGCCTCCAACCCATTTACCGAGTCGTATCACTTTCGTGATATGTACTCCTGAAACCGCTTCAGGTAGTACGTTTCTTACCACGGATTCTACTAACTTCAGATCATGTGAATGTCTCTTGGCAGGATCGTTGTCTATCGACTCCTCTAGATTCCAAATAATTAAGCTAGGGAGTGGTTTAGTTTCTTTTGGAGTCGTGTTTACAGCTATCGATCGTGACCCAACATCCTGTATATTAACTACTGTTATCTTACGATTAGTTTTTACTGTAACAGAGTCATTGGAGTCGAGCGTGTGACTCACAGCAATGTTTGACGAGGCTTCACTTTGGAACTTTGGCGGAGTGGTCTGAGAGTCCACCAAAGACTTATCAAAGTAAACGGTCCTTACTTTTAGCTGTCTTCCCTACTCTTCTGCGTTTACGCGTCATCCATATTCCGTCAGCCGTAGCATCTACATCAGAACTACTCGGAAAAATAATTGTTTTATCTGCATCACCAGTTGCTGCTGTAGCAACATGGCCAC